TATGAACAAATCATGCAAAAAACAAAACAAAACAATGGTGATAGGTTTGGCTTAGGGTCACCACAAATTGGAGATGACTTGAAGGTATGCAGTAGCAGCAACAACCTTTCCTAGTTATCTAAAGCATAACAAAGAAGGAACCAATCTCACCTCTGGAGAAAATTCTGTAATCAGGTTGCTACTATCAAAAAGATCCCATCCTCAGGACCCAACAAATGATGCGACAAACACCAGAAATCCCAGTGATTATTTTAAATTTCATACAGGTACATACAGAAGGAGACAGTCCATCATATATCCTAGCCCCAACCATTCAGGGCTTTGTGCATCAAACTCAGATATTTTATGCCTAAACTAATGCAACAGTACATTGTTGTTGTGTGCCTCCAAGTCATTTCTGACTATCACAGGGTTTTCTTGGCAGAATTTCTGCAGAAGGGGTTTGCCCTTGCCTTCCTCTGAGGGTGAGAGAACATGACTTGTCCAATGTCACCAAACAGATTTCTGTGTCTGACTAGGGATTTGAATCATGGTCTCTCAGTATCCTAGTCTACCATTCAAATCACTACATCATGCTGGGTCTCAACAGCACATACAGGGCCTCTTTTCCAAAATGCAGACCAGTTTTCATAAACAGGTATGGGCTATGGGGAGGAAAAAGAGAACCAGATGCCAAATGGGAAAACCTTTGGAGAGTCAAATGAAAATACATGTTCTTATTGGCACTAACTAATCATATAGGGGCAGAGGAATAATTTCCCCCCATGCAGAGCTGAATGTCAGGAAGGGGTACAAAATAAAACTACATTGCTTATGGGCTAGCACAGTTTTTGCCTCACTCTGAGCATGGGGGCATCTGTAGGAATAGGAAACCTTTGGATCCATCCAAATGCTGTTATCGCACCACTTTTTTGTCCTTTTTGACAAAGTTCAGTAATAGTCTTATATTCCTTGAAATGCTTACCCAGTCATCTGACAGAAGCACATACTTGGTTAAAAATATGGAAAAGCAAATGTCATGTGTGGACAAACAACTTGCCCTTCTGATGTCAAAATATATAAAAACTCAGACAGCCTCTCCCCTATCTTTGCTGTCAGATGCAATTTAAGAATATAGTGGACCCTTGGTATACACTCGGGTTTAGTTCCAGAACTAATGGATATCAACATTTGTGGATGTTCAAGTCCCATTAAATACAATGGGGTAGCAAAATGGTGTCTCTTATATAAAATGGTAAAAGCAATGTCTGTTTTTTAAAATGTACATTTTAAAAAATTATTTACAAGCCATGGGTGGTTGAATTCCTGGATAAATAATCCATGGTTAGGGAGGGCTGACGGTAGTATTTTACTAAAAATGGAGTCTCACCACTGCATCAGGAATATTCCATCTGTATGGTGTTCTTACCTGTCCTATGCACCAAGTAATCTAAATTCTGTCATGCCAGAGGAAGACCAAACTGCTGCTCTTTCCTAAATATCACTCTTTAAGCTACCCCTTTCCCTACACCAGGGGTAGGCAACCTTTTTGTGACCTGGGCTGGTCCCCCGAAGCTCAGGTCTCCGCTGGGTCGAGGGGGAGGGGGAATGGCGGCGCGCACACTCACGCACCCTCCACCACCACGCATGGCGCTGCAGTGCACGCGGCTGCAGCCATTGCAACACATGTCACAGCCGCCATTTTGAAAATTTTATTATTATTATTATTATTATTATTATTATTATTAAAATGGCGGCCGCGACGCGTTTGCGCATGCACAGTACTCTGTGCCCACACGGAAGAGAAAACGCGCCGCGGCAGCGGCAGTGGCAGTGGCAGGGATCGGCCTGGGCCAGTAAGTCCGGCGACCTGGGCCTTAACCGGCCTGGGGCCACAGGTTGCCGGTTCCTGTCCTACACTATGCTTTTAGTAAAAACAGTGGTACAGGCAATGACATTGTCTGACTGACAAAGGAAATACCATAAACATGTGTTTGCAAGCCTCTATATTTATATATTATATATTTACTTATTTAGATGTAAATATATGGGAAGCCAGAACTGGATGCAACTGTCTGCCACACATACATGCAATGGAAACATTTCTGCAAATATTGTATATACTCATGT